CCCGGGACCCAACCTCCCCCTCCAAACTACCTAAACTACCTAAACTACCTAAACTACCTAAACTATCTAAACTATCTAAACCCCCCTGGTTTAGATAGTTTAGATAGTTTAGGTAGTTGAGGCCTCTCTCGCCCAACTATCTAAACTATCTAAACTATCTAAACTATCTAAACCCCCCCTGGTTTAGATAGTTTAGATAGTTTAGGTAGTTGAGGCCTCTCTCCCCCAACTATCTAAACTATCTAAACTATGTAAACCCCCCTGGTTTAGATAGTTTAGATAGTTTAGGTAGTTTAGGCCTCTCACCCAACTATCTAAACTATCTAAACTATCTAAACCCCATTGGTTTAGATAGTTTAGGTAGTTTAGGCCTCTCCCCCAACTATCTAAACTATCTAAACTATCTAAACCCCACTGGTTTAGATAGTTTAGATAGTTTAGGTAGTTTAGGCCTCTCCCCCAACTATCTAAACTATCTAAACTATCTAAACCCCCCTGGTTTAGATAGTTTAGATAGTCCCCCAAAAAAGGAACGCCACATAATACATAAAGGTTCCTGCCTCATATATATATATATATTCTCCTGCCACAACTTAAAGGTTAACCTTTTTGGGGCCGGGGTGCTCAACAACTAGTTTAGGATCCTGGGGTGCGTGGGTCCACATGATGCTCGGATCCAGGGCTGCAAGTTTGCTCGTGCGTATGTGTATGAACGCAATCCTGTAAGCACAAAGCAGCATGCTCCACAGCTACCTTTTTTGTATCCCCTCTGCAGGGTTTAGGGTATAGGGTTTAGGGTTTAGGGTTCAGGGTTTTTTGGGTTCAGGGTTTAGGGTTTAGGGTTTGAGTAGCAACTGCTGGCAATTGCGCTGTGAGGAGCACATCTCCATGCGAGCTCGAGGGCGCGGTCGGGGCCTCTTGCGAAGGCATTAGTACAGAGATATATGGGGTTTAGGGTTTAGGGTTTAGGGTATACAGGAGCCGAAAGAAATGCCAGCATTTTGCCCTTGACGTTAGTATTGGTATGAGTATGTTTTGCATTATTCGCATTATTGGGATGTAGCATGATTTTGTCAGTATTAGTAGCATTTTTTATGAGTATGATGAGGAGTATTACCACTTTCCCGGTATTGTTATACTAGAATGCCCCAAAAGAGTGGTGCCTGTGGTCGAAATCTCCTGGACAATCCTGTATACCCACATACCCATAAGAAGCCCTAGGGGTCCGTGTCACGCACGATGGGACTATGGACAGTCTCCTTTAGATGTTAAGAAGCTCGGGATGTAGTTTCTAAGATATGAGAAGTTTCCAGACCTAGCGTAACCTATATGCCCGTAGACAGGGGAGTGGACCGGATAAATGAAGGCAGCCACGAGCCTTTCTCCATGGATAGTTTTTAAGCCCGAACCCTTTTCTTCCAGGGACCTCGCGATTACAGTCACTAGAAACCCTAAACCACTAGAACTTTTATGGACACCTGGAACTACAGGGGATCTTGTTTGGAAGCCCTGTTAGGTCGAGGCCGTGGAAAGCGACGCAAGGAGAAAGGAGACCGAATTGGCATCACCCGATGCCCCAACCCTAAACCCTAAACCCTAAACCCTAAAATGCCTTGAAGGGCTCGGACTTCTCAATTCTCGGTCTCTGCCTGTGTAGGTGGGCGCATGCCTGTCAAAGCCCCCTGTATTATATGCCCGTTGTTCGACCTTTTTGGGGGGATTCTTTTGGGACTCGAAACCCTCAGAATGCCCTTGAAATCCTCAGAATGCCCTCGAAACCCTTTTAAAGCAAGAGCGCGCCCTTCAGAACCCGTAAACGTCTTTGTATGCCTCTGCCGCCTTTGCCTGGAGTTGCGTCCCTAAATCCTAAACCTTAGCCCTAAACCCTAAACCCTAAAACCCTAAACCTCCATTGCTGCAGGAGTCGCGGGGTCCACGGCGAAGGCGGCGCCCGCAGTGCCGCCTCCTTCGCTGGAGGCCCCTGAAATCCCAACCTGAAGGTTTCATAGCCTTGCAGTACTCATTGCTAAAAGTATTCTTCCTTAAAAAGGGTAATATAGGGATTATTGTGTTGAGGTTTTTCTGGTGCAGCTTACATAGCCTAGTAGTAGAGTAGGCAAGCTTTAACCTTTTTGGGGTAATCTAATCCCCTTAGAATCCCAAAGGTGAACATTTAGTTCCCCCAGGTTACTGGACAACTAAGATAGCCTTACACTACTAATTGCTAAACATATTCTTTCTTATAAAGGGTATTGGGATTATTATTTGTTTTCATTCTTTTGGTGTTCTTTAAGCAAATAGTAGTTCAAGGCCTGAACCTTACAATTCCCAAGCCTAAACCTGAATCTGGGTCGGTGTTTCAGGGCAACTGTGGCATGCAGGCACTTTAAGGGTTAAGCTTCACCGATAGAGTAACCTACAACGTACCCATTCAAGAGGGGATGTATGCCGCTGCTCTTAGGTATACTTTCTCTTCTCTTAGTCAATTAACTGAGGAGGTGAAAGGCAGCTGAAGGGGGTTTAGGGCCTTTAGGGTGTTAGGGTGTTAGGTTTGTTTTGGGGGATTTAGGGTCTTAGGGTTCGGTTTGAGGGTAGTATTCGCCTAAGGGTCAGCGAACGACCACGAAGACATGAGCCCGTCAGCAGGCTGCGCAGCACAACCTCTCCTCGAACATCCAGGCCTGGAACCTGGGATCTTGCGAAGGCCCTATACCCTAAACCCAGCCCTAAACCTTAAACCCAGTAGGCGGTTTAGGTTTTAGGGTTCAGGGTTTAGGATTTAGGGTTTAGGGTTTAGGGTTTCATGCACCAAGAAAAGGGTGCCTTCGTGTTATCCCCCCCATAGGCACCGAAGGCTTAGTCTCCACGAATCTGAAAGCAGCTAGGATTATTAGCAGTGTTGGGATTCTTAATACTATTCGTTTCATTAGTATTACTAGAATGTTCTTCTTATTTGTTCTTAGAATTACTCTGCCTTGGCCTGAACCCAGCTTGCGCGAGGGGCTGCAAGAACTGGACCCCAGATGGTTGGGGGGGCAGCTTTTTCACTGCAAGATCACAGCTCTGCCTGCTCTCATGGGTTCCCCTTGCTTCCCCCCCGTATACTATCCCCCCCTGGGTTCCCCCCAATATTTAAGGCAATTTAGGGATAATTCCCATGATGCTCCAGGGCCTGCGTTTCATGCAGACAGCCCGGGAAAACGAGGAGCGGAAGAAGTGCGGGGCCTGGGTGTAGATGCTCGACATGGTAGTTCTACCCCCCCCCCCCCAAACCCTAAACCCTAAACCCTAAACCCTAAACCCTAAACCCTAAACCCTAAACCCTAAACCCCCCCCCCGTGTCCCGACATGTTCGATAGCGAAAGGTGACCGTGAGCTGCGATGCAGAGGGCAAGTTAGGGCGCTTCTTGTCTACTAGGTCCTAATGCAATTCAACGACCTGCTCCTGTCAGACAGCTTTTTCTGTCGTCTGCCCTAAACCCTATATCTTGGGATGTTCCCCCTTCTACGAACAGTCCTTCATAGGGAGTCTAATGGGGGGTACTCAAATCTCTATGAAGGACTGTTAGTACAAGGGGGAACATCCCAACCTATACCCTATACCCTAAACCCTTAACCCTAAACCCTAAACCCTAAACCTGTGCTTGCTTTATGTCGTGGACTCGGCAAGGCAAGAGAAGGAGCAGCTCCGACACATAGAGGCCAAGTGAACCCTGGGTTTGCTGCCCTTTTCGAGCAACGCTAAGGGTTTAGGGTTTAGGGTTTAGGGTTTAGGGTTTAGGGTTTAGGGTTTAGGGTTTAGGGTTTAGGGTTTAGGGTTTAGGGTTTAGGGTTTAGGGTTTAGGGTTTAGGGCAGTTTAGGGGTCGGGCTTGGGGCCTCGGGAGGCCTCCCTCTTTGTATTGGGAACATGTCCCTTCCTGGGTGGGCTATTGTACCCTCTAATCCCTTCAAAGGCCCTTTGGAGGGTTTAGGGTTTAGGGTTTAGGGTTTAGGGTTTAGGGTTTAGGTGGTTCATTATGGTGGGGGGGGTTTAAGGCGTAATGGCCCATCCTGGTTTTGAGGGTATGCTGTAGGTTGCTCTGGGTAGGGCTCAATCGTTCAGTGCGCGGGCTGCTTGCATGGCTTGAACGTTGAGCCATGCAAGAGCCCTTGTGATTTGCCTCTGTCCCGTTGAGTTGGCGTGGCTACGCGCCATAAACCCTAAACCCTAAACCCTCAACCCTAAACCCTAAACCCCTGCGACTGTGATCCAGGAGATGCAGTGGGTCGTGGAAGGCTTTGAGGCGGAAGTCATGGCCGAGTCTTCTCAGGTTCCTGAGCCGTTGTTCAAGCATGGGGGATGCCACTGAAAAGATGCCACCGATAAGATAAACCGATTAGATGAGGATTTAGGGTTTAGGGTTTAGGGTTTAGGGTTACCCTATTAGGGTTTAGGGTTTAGGGTTTAGGGCCGATAAGATAGTGGTTTTAGGCTTTAGGCTTAAGGGCTTTTTGGGGGCCACAAGCTGAGCGTCCCCCCCCCCCCCCCGCTTGCTGTACCGCACTTTATGCTTGGTCCAGGCGCGGAAACAAGCAACTATGCAATGGACTAAAGGAGGGACCCTTATAGGGGACCTTGGCGGTATTTAGGGTCTACTTAGGTATAGGGTCCCTTCTACGGGTCCCTCCTTATACCCATTAAGTCAGAAAGGCTGGAGTGTCACTGACACTGTGAGCATGAATGAGCCTCCGTGCAACAAGTAAGCTTTCCACCATTCACCCTGGAGGCTACCTAGGGCAGCCTATGTACCTTTTGCAGAGAGAGAGAGAGAGAGGAGAGGCCTGCATTTTCAGGTCCATCGGTCTTTGCCTAGGGTACATCGGTTACTCTCCCTAAGCCCTATACCCCATACCCTATACACCCTAAAAAGTATTCCGAATATGCCAAGATTCGGCCTCAGGAAAAGCGGCCTGCCGAGCGAAGGGCGGGCCCACCGCCCTGCAGCTGCACCGACGCTCTACAAGGTTGCAACCGTGAACCTGTCGGGTTTAGGGTTAGGGTTTGGGGTTTCGAGGGCGTGGAGGGTGTGGTTTGGGGGGGGGGGGGGGGGGGTTGGTTCGGGGGCGTTTCGGGGGGGTGTGGGGTTTGGGGTTTGGGGTTTAGGGTGCTTCAAATGTTTAGAATCTTAGTTCGGAGCTCCGGCAGACTCCTTTCAAGCTTTCGGCTTGAAGATTTATGTGGCTATACCCCCCCCTCCCCAGCTGGAGCCAATCATATACAACTGTACTTCCCCTACCTCGAAGCCCAGGTGAAGTTGTAGCGAACTACCCACCAACCTTCAAGCGAGACCTACAAGCCAGAAGCCGTGGATTCATGCTTGGGCCTACAATGCCTTAGGAGTCTCCGATGTGTTGGGGTTTTAAGGTGGCAACCAATTGCTGAAAGCAAAGGACTTGGGAGCTGAAAGCAAAGGACTTGGGAGCTGTTGGCAACAGAATACGCAAACATGCACACAGTTGTTGTACTCGTACCCATGCTTTTGATCAGATAGCCCTCGGAACGACCTTTCTTCGACACACAGCCCCCTAAATCCTAAGCTCTAAGCTCTAGCCCCGTCATGCCACTACAAGTAGTCAGAGTCATGAAACGGCGCACCAAGCATGCTAGCCAAAGTAGTATGAAGACGACCACGACCACCACCACCACGTATCACTATTGCTACTGCTCATTACTGCGACGACGACTGCGACTGCCACTGCGACTGCCACTGCGACGATGACGACGACGACGACCACGACGACCACGACTACTACGATTACTACTACGACTACTACTACAACTACCACTACCACTACCACTACCACTACACTACCACTACCACTACCACTACGACTACTACTACTACTACTACTACTACTACTACTACTACTACTACTACTACTACTACTACTACTACTACTACTACTACTACTACTACTACTACTACTACTGCTACTGCTACTACTACTACTTCTACTACTACTACTACTACTACTACTACTACTACTACTACTCCCTACTACCTACTCACTACCAACTGCCAACTTCTAACTACTGCTACTCATAATGAGTACAACTTGTTCAGTCCCACAGCCCCTTTGCGCAGGGCTTCAACGGCCTAGTGGAGCAGTCGATGAAGGCGCAGCGTCCTTCCTCTGTCTTGAGCATGTCAGGAGATAGCCGCGCCCCTAGCATGCCCCCACCCCCCCCCCCCCCCCCCCCCATAGTTCTGGTCTATAGTCCCTGGCTTCAGGAAGCCCCACTGTTATATCACCACCGTGATCTCATATTCTCGATAGCACCACAGTTGGGCCCGTGTAATCACTTCTTCAGCATTCGCACACTTCTTGCAGGATATGCTCAAGAAGCATGCAGACATGATGAAGCAATCGGAAGAAGTGGAGCAGGCGTGGCAGCGATAGCGCTGTATGATGTTGCCGGCGACCGTTGAGAAGTTAGTTGCGAAGTTCAGCTTTGTCGTTTCGCAACTAGATCTCTCAGAACCGCTAAGCCCTCATCCTTATAACACCCTCAACCATCAACCTTAAATCCAAGCAAAGCCCAAAATCTGCATCCTTCACTCCTACAGCCCTACAGCCCCCTAAGCCCGGATAAATCATGACCCTTAACCTAGGCCCCAAGTACCCTGAAGATAGCCTAAATGCCTCCACAAAAGTACGTTAACGCCCTTTTGACAGGGTCTTTGGGGGCTCCTGTGACAGCTTGTCCCTGAAATCCATGCCGGGTCTTGCGATGCCAGGGGTACCTGAGTGGAGCCCTTATCCTAAGGGGATCCTACTATTGGGTATCCTATTTTAGGGGTCCCTTATTATCCCAAAACCCAAAGCCCTTAAGCCTAAACCCCCCATGTACCTCATGTAGTCGATGGCAAGGCATCCGCGCTTCGGAAGATGAAGCAGCAGCGTGTCACCAAGTCGTAGCCAAAGTGGGCATTCGTTCCGCTCGCAGGTCAATTAAGGGGGGGGGGATAAAACAAGGTACCTCATTCTCTACCAAGAACTGGTGAGTTGTTCACATCCGTGAGAACCCTAAGCCCTAAAACCCTACAACCCTAAACCCTTAAACCCGAAAACCCTAACACCCTAAAGCCCTAAAACCCTAGAACCCTATGGCTCCAAACCCTAAAGCCCCTATATAGAACCCTAAGCCCTAATTAGAACCCTAAAACCCAAAAACCGTAACACCCCCAGCGGTGCCCCGTTGCGAGCTGGCGGAGATGCTCCGAATCAAAAAGAGAACGGAGGTGTAGGGGTTTAGGGGTTTGCAGGGTTTATAGGGTTTTGAGGGTTTATAGGGTTTTATGGAAGTTTATAGGGTTTTTAGGGTTTGTAGGGTTTTTTAAGGATTTTTAGGGTTTTAGGGTTTTTAGGGTTTTATAGGGTTTAGGGTTTAGGTTCAGCCACGGCGAGGTACACACATGCAAGACAGCGAGCATGTTTTTAAGTATTCCGTGGCCTCCTGACGGTTTTGCGATTGGTTCCGGCAGTTTGTGTATTCTTCGTCGTCTCGCTGGACTCATGAGCTACCATAGCCCACTAAACCGCATTTGGCTCGAGGGAAGGCACGAGCACTGGTCAGACTCCCTGGAGTATCATCGTCAGCCTGATTGCCAAAGGCCCCCAGCCGCGCGCATGATTGGTCATCGCCAGACTGTGACATGTTCCTAGAAGAAGAGTAGGTAACCTTTAACCTTTTTGGGGTAATCTAATCCCCTAAGAATCCCAAAGGTTAACCTTTAGTTCCCCCAGGTTACTGGACAACTAAGTGTTTCATAGGATTCAACGAAACAGCCAAGCTTGACGCGAAACCTCTTTTCCACGAGCTTCTCTCCTTGCCACAGGTTCGCCAACATGGCGGATTCCAAGAAGCACATGAAGATGGGCACGCAGGACAGCGGCACGCCTTCGTACGTGCACACACCACAGGAAAATGAATGCTGACCCTGTTTGTTTGCCACAGGAGAGTTTGAAGACGCTGATGAGGCGCGGTGTTTTCTTGTCTGGCAGTGTTGCACTTCGACGGATGTTGTGCGGGGTCGGGCTCAGCTCTTAGGTCTTGTTCAGTTCTTGCATTGCCTAGCGTGACTCTGCGCAGCAGCCGGCTACTGCAGCATGAGTCATACAGTCATGGATCAGCACCCACCAATTTGAAGCAACTGCATCCTCAGGCCCTGAACCGGGCTGCATATTGGGGTTGATCCTGTCTGGGTATCCAGTACAGTGTGAGTATGTTGTGTTCCACATAGTTTAGGAGTTATTAGGACCCAAAGTGCCAAGGATCAACCCACATATGCCAAAAACCCTAAACCCTAACCCCTAAACCCTAAACCCTAGACCGCACGTTTTTTGTTACTACTACAGTTGCTTCAGTTGAGACATTAGGTGCCATCCTTCGCATCCTGCAGCTGCTGCCCAAAAAGGGGTAGGGTTTAGGGTTTAGGGTTTAGGGTTTAGGGTTTAGGGTTTAGGGTTTAGGGTTCAGGGTTTAGGGTTTAGGGTTTCGGGTTTAGGGTAGCTACTATGCTCCCAGCAAGCTGTGTTGGGCACTTACAGGGAATTTTGCTCGGGATTGTAGACCTGCCCCTTAAGCCCGAAAGCACCCTAAACCCTAAACCCTGAACACCTTCATCGCGTTTAGGGATTAAGGTTTGGGGTTTCTTGGACTACCGGGAAATTGAGGATTCCATCACACTTCGCCGTCCTCAGGCCTCATATGCATCACGCCATCGACACATGGATGACCCAGGCCGATCAGACCCGTCAAGACTGTCCCCTGATATCTAATTAGGGTTATGGGAAATAAGGTTTATATGACTTCTGTATGTTTACGGGGTTTTTTGGATGTGGGTTTTGCAGCATTTTAAGCGACCCTCGACAAAGCCCTTCCAGGCCTATGTGCAAGATCTCGGATGGGTTCAGGATTGAGGGAAGCCCTAAGCCCGAAGTCCTGCTCGTGCGCCTATGGTGCTACGGTTAGTTGGGTATGGTGGTGCTGTTTCCATAAGTGCAGAGCGGCCAAACCCCTAGTACAAAAGTGACCCGCCCCTCCCAGCCCCTACCCCCAGCAGATCACTGCCAGACCAGTCGGGTGAGCCCAGAGACTCCAAAACCCCTTAATTGAGGAATAGACCTTAAATCATATTCGGGTTCCTATTATAACTTAAGGTATATTCCTTAATTAAGGGATATACCTTAAATCATATGAGGGTTCCTATTATAATTTTAGGGTATATTCCTTAATGAGGGGGTTTTGGAGTCTCTGGGTGGTGGAGCTTCGTAGCACAGTGGGGGGCCACAGTCAAACACCACCTTAGACGCCCTCAGCACTGAGTCCTAAACCCCCTGAAGACCTTGTAAACCCCAGAAACCCTGTAAGCCCTATGTCCCCGTAAACCCTCTGAACCCTTTTGACCCTATAAACCCTTTTAACCCTATAAACCCTATGAACCCCCTTACACCCCCATAATCCCCGTGTAAACCCGTGTAAACCCTATAAACTTCAAACCCTTTCAAAGCCCCTGAAGTGTAGGTGGGTGACACAGAGAAGAGGGGCCTCCTTCGCCTCATGCGCATGGCCCACCCGGACGGGGCCGGTGGCTCAGTTCGGTTTAGGGTGTAGGGTTTAGGGTTTAGGGTGTTTTAGAAGGCTCTACTGCCAACATTGCGGAACACCTTGCTTCTCTCTTTGTGGTAGAGAGATCGTTCTCCCCATTCTTTGAGGTCACAGGGTTTCGGGAGCACCCCTAAACCCTAAACCCTGAACCCTCAACCCTCAACCCTAAACCCTAAATCCTACACCACGGGGGCTTAGCGAGTAGAAATCAATAGCCGCGCAGATGCCATGCGAGGATCAGACTACTCCATCGACTCTAAACCCCGAAATCCCCAAACCCTAAATCCTAGCCCTAGACCCTATAAACCCTAAACCTTAAACCCTAAACCCTACTCCCTGGCCACAAGAAAGGCGCTCAACTCAGGGACTTTTCGGGGAGGTGTCAGGGCCCTGGAGTCATCGATGCACGGTTTAGGGTTTAGGTTTTAGGGTTTTTGGGTCCGCGCCCCTTTCTGGCGGGTATGTAGGTTACTCTAGGTTTCTGGGTGCAGGGCCGTGGTCTCTTCAAGATTGCATGGACGACTGTTCGCGAACTCTGTCTTCACGGATGCAGAAGCGCCTCTCGCACATGGGCAGCCCTCTAGATTAGGTCCCTTTGGGGTCCCCTACATAGTACAGCACCTTATAAAGGGAGCCCTAATGACACACCCTAAACCCTAGACCCTACTTGGAGGTTCATGGCACTTATTAACCACATTATAACTGCACTTATTACCCACTTATAAGCGCCTTAAGTGCCCTAATATGGTTATAAGCACAGTTATAAGTACAGTTATAAGTACAGTTATAAGTACAGTTATAATTAGTTAGTAAGTACCATGAACCTCCAAGTAGACCCTAAACCCTACTGTTCAGAAGAACTACCCACATGTGCTTTGTTCCCTCACTGCTGCCAGCTCCACATCGACAAGCCTCGCCATCCCGCTTGGATCCCGACCTGCGCCACGCAGAAGAAGGACCCAAACTCTAAAGGAGGGACTGAAGGAGGGACCCTTAAAAGGGACCTTATAGGGGGTTATTTAGGGGTTATTTAGGGGAAGGAGGGACCCTTATAAGGGAAATTATTGGGGGTTATTTAGGGGTTATTTGGACCCTTATAAGGGACCTTAGGGGTTATTTAGGGGGTTATTTGTGGGGCTACTTGTAGGTATGTAGGGACTATATGAGGTGTAAGAAGAGGTTATCTAAGGGCTAGGGATCCCTCCTTATACCCCGGAACAGATGGAACACGGGTCCACGTGGATTTCACAGTGATGAAGCATGATCCCTTTGCAAGGCATGCTGCAACTTTCCTAAGGGTCCATGTACCTATAAAGTATATACTTGGGCCTAAGAGGGGTTCCCATATAGTAGCTTTAGGTGCCAAGTATATACTATATAGGTACATGGACCCTTAGTGATTTGGCTGCAGGACTACAGTGCTCTACCCAACGCGGCGTCCAGTCCCCAGCGGCTGGCGATCTTGTTTGACAAACCAGCAAGCTGATGCAGCTTCGATCGTTCACAGTATGTTACGGATCAATGTGATTATTGCCTTGTTATGATAGAATATTGTAATATTTATCTGAACATATATATATATATACATCTATATACACACAAATAAATAAATAAATATAAATAAATAAATAAATATATATATATATATACATGAACGCGGTTTGTGGTTCGTCGGTCCCCCCCCCCCCCCCCCCCAATGGTATCCCCCACCCTAAACCCGAAGCGCCAAACCCTCAACCCCAAACCTAACGCCAAAACCTAAACGCAAAACCCTAAACCCTAAACCCAAAACCCTAACCCCAAACCGCACACACCACTGTACAGAGGGGGTGGGGGGGGGAGGGGGAAACCACGCTCCGATCACATATAAATCCGGCGCTGGCTAAGCATTTGTCGTCCTGAGGCTCCAAAACCCCTGAATTAAGGAATAGACCCTAATTGGGTTTATTCCTTAGTTAAGGAATATAGCCTAATTTAGACTAAGGATCCTAATTATGAATTAGGGTATCTTCCTTAATTAAGGGGGTTTTCGAAGATCTGGGGCGTCCTGAGGCTCAGCATGATGCAGAAGTCCGCTTCCAGCCCCGCTTTGCGCTGATCAGCCCATCACTAAATCCCCCTCGGGATTTATTTGTTGTATTTTTGTTGCTATAAAACCCAAGAGGATATGTAACATAGTATTTTTATTAAGGTTCTAAGGGGAGTATAGATCACACCCCTCCGCGGACAGGTCTCGCTTCGATGACGACTTAATGTGGGCGTTTGCGAGAATAGGGGACCCTTGAAATAGACCCCAAATAATAGGATT